TAGTTTCCTTCACAATTACATGATAATACAAAACTTTGTTTAGCCATAACCTTTTGCACGAATTATGTACTGCAATAGCAATCAAGAAAGGTTTCTGACAACATAACTAGGCTCTAGCAACTGTCACAAATCAAACTCGTCTAATACTCACCCAATTCGTCTATCCATTCGGAGTTGTGCATATGTTTAATCTCGTTGAGATGATTGAACCAATTCACTTTTCCGTTGTCCATAAGCCAAGCGTATATCCTCTCTCGTATCATCGACTCTTCTCTCCTAAAATATATGTCTTATTTTCTGGTAATGAAGTATGTCTACCGTACCTCGGCACTGGTGCGCCTTGTTTATTCCGGTTCTCAGAGTAGTAAACTATGCGCGTAGATGGAAATTTTTCGGAAAGCATGCTTTCCAATACTGTGCCTAAAACTTAGAAATGATTCGTGATCTTCGAACGCAAGCTCAGGACTCACCACGATATGAAGGCTCCAACTTCACCGCCTTTGAGGGACCAAATAGATAGAATAAATTGAGCAAAGCATCTGCAACAACTTCTGGCTGATTTCCTATCATCGGAAAAGCATACGAGTACTGTGATGCCTGAAAATGGCTGGATATATTAGTCAAGCTTATTAGAATGAACTCCACCTCATCTTTCGCATGGAATACATAGGTGAATGGAGGGTCAGGCCGTTTGGTAAAGTCCACAATATCGATATCCACCGTTGACCATACAGTCGGAGTCGCAGAATTGCTGGTGGATGCAGCCTTGAATGGAAATAATCAACAGTTAATTCATGCCAGGTTTGCTTTTCTCATTAAGACTGGAAAGGGTAACTATATAAATCAAATCTTACCTGCTCCATACGATCTCCCATCTCCGAAATGAATTTGGCTAAGTTTTCACTTGTTCCTTCCTCGTAACCATCATGTTCCGGTTGTTGCTGGAATAGAGCTACTGGATATATGAATTACCAGTTCCTCTGTGACTCCACAACCTTTCAGAAAAAATTCGCTTGTACCAGTCCTTCCTTTACTATTATGATGTTGGTGCGAAACTTTTGCACTTTTTAAATTAGTTATAACTTTTCGCTGACTCATCTTATTTGCAAGAATGAATTTATCGAGCAGATGAAGTTGCGCTTCCTAACAGCATCATTTTAATGGTTTTTCAAAAATGGGTTTCTGAGCTCGAGTAGCAAAAAATGAAATCTGCGATAAATTTGTAGTCATTTAAGTACGCTATGAATCAGTCTTTGACTGAGCACCGTATATGCTTATCGCAGGCCCCATGAACGATGAGAATTGAAGGAAGTCAACTAATCAAGTTTGTTGTTAGACAGTTTATTATGTTTCAGATTCTTGGGACTTCACATAAAACCTTCTCCCATTTTGAAAACAAATCTCAAGTGAGCCATCGGAATGCCTCTGAAATTACGCGAGTTTCTATGTCTCGTAAAATTGCATACGTTCTTGCAAATCCTATATCAAGAAGTATCAAGAAGTTTGATATTCATAAGGGTATCAGAGAACTTTAACTTCCACCTGTACTTCTTTTG